GACTAAGTCTGGCAGGGGGAACAGAACCGCCTGTGTCGTCTTCCCCGGCCGAGCCACTCTGCTAACTCAAGAAGATAAAGTGGAGTCCTTCTGTGTTTGCTGTGCTTGTGAACGTTGCATGGACTTCTGACTTTCCACATCTCTAAAATGTTTCTCAACCTGCCGAGTGGAAAAAAAAACAAAAAACAACAACACTTAATGGACAGTGTGAACATGGGGCTGCCTGCTAAACTCTGATGATTCTAACCCGTTTGAATCTCATGTTGTCTTTGTACACAGACAGACACAAAAGAACGGTAAAGCAAGCTTTAAAGTTTCAAAAAATCTTTTCTCTAAATAACCACAACAATCTCATATACAAATTACAAAGGCATTTATTAACTGGGTGACTTCATGTAGAAATCAGCTGCAACGATGAGTTGATTAATCAAATTGTCATTTTAAACTAAATTCTTTACACAACTACTGTCATTCTTCATGTGCACATCTCAGTGAAAACAACAGTGTGAATACCTTCAAGGAAATGCTGTTCTAAAGTGGGCACCATTATATATTTAACTGTGATTTACACATGCTAGGTTGTCTGAATGTAAGTGATCTGTGACAGCAATGGCCTGTTAACATTACATTTAATCAAAAGGAGGCGGCACAAAGCCGGCATACAATGTGCAGGCTCAGCGGAAACAGCCGCCACCAGGTAGAGAATTATTGAGAATGTTTATTCAAATGAGATTGTTACAGCAGCCAGACGGCCCTGATGATCACAGTTCAAGTTGTGCCTACCAGTAGTGTTACTAGTTTGTTTTGACTATACTCCAGCTTTAGGCTAGGTCCACAGTATCAATCTAAATGTAACAACAACAACAATGATAATAATAATAATAATAATAATGATTGCTCTGTTCACCCTTCCATACTGTGCCAGTCATTTCTCTGCAAGACCAAAAATGCGTTTGGTGCTGGCAGGGACTGTGTGGAACCTTTCTATTCTAGATTTAGCCACTTGTGGCTAAATCCACTTGTAAACATACTGATGAACGTAATGAAAATAGCTGCAGCACTTTGGCCCTACAGGATTATATATATAGTATTGTATAGTATCCATACTTACTATTTTGCGTACATGACTTAAAGCGCTTCCCTCTTTGCCTTTGCAGTTCTCAACCTGGTAAGGCGGCGAGATTACGACGTCGTCCATCACAATAATGTTCTTCTCCTGCCATTTACAGTCTTTAATGCTGCAAAGAAAATTAAACATCTTATCCGCAGAAGGAAATGTTGTGTCTGTGAGGCAAGCAATGCAACATGACAGAAAGGTCTCGACACAAGAGTCTCACACATTTCTTTTCATTTCTGAACAACTTCCATGACTTAACTATGACTGCTAGATATCTGAACACAGTATCCACCAATAAAGGACCATTTCTATGTCAAATATGTTCCATAGATGAATATGGCCAAACTGATAAACATGGATTTAACATAAGTTTTGTTTTCCCGTCATAGTGAAATTATTCAGCTCATGTCGACACTGGGCAATGAAAACGAGCTGCGACTGCATCTAACTTCACCTGCAAGACATTTTATCATTAAAAGCAAAATGTTGTTTCAGATCTCTCTGATCCCATTTGTCAACCTGGGTTTTAAATGTGAGGCTCTCTATCTGACAGAGCTGAGGGCATGATAAATTTTATAGCTCATTTAAAAGTATAACAAGGCTCCAACATGGCAATGGCCATTCTTTTCTTGGCTAGCAGCTGATAAAAGCAGAATGCTCCCAGTAGACATTTCTGTGCCTTTGTCGTGTTTTTCACATTAATGAAAACAAATATTCTTGAGCTAGTACAAGTTCAAGAGACTCTGAGATCGTCACACATACAGTGTGTTAAGCACAACAGCATCTAATTTAAGTATTTTCCTATCAGCTGAATCTCTGGTGGCTCTGAGGGAGGATTAACTTAGCTTTGAGAATTACAGTTTTACCAACAACTACACACTAAATAACAACTTACTGAGCCATCTTGTTTATAATGCTTCACTGACGCTGAAATGGGAGCTGTCGCCAACCTCTTTATAGAGATTGGTGCACCGGCCCTTCAGGTGCTTTGCTGAATTTGTCATCTTAGCACTGCAATATACCACAGTCTGTTAGCTTAAAATTCAACCAGAGCAAATGAGAAAAATGATGAGAAGAGGACAGCACTGAGTGAGTGAGAGGAGAGGGGGGCTGAGGACACTGCAGCCTCATGTATGCATGCTAAACTCGCTGTTGGAGAGGAGAGAGAGCGAGAAAGCACAGCTGGTCATCTGTGCATCGATACAACAGAAAATTTTTTCCACACATTCACGATCGATGTGTATCAAAAAAACTGATATTTTGTTGATGTCGGTCGTTGGTTTCCCTCCATTTGGGTTGACTATACTTTGAATCAGGTCTCAACTTCAAACCGTCTGAGTAACTTTCAGATCAGGTCTTTTTCTAAAGTTAAATGTACGCGTGTCTGGTTCATATAGCTTTTCTATGTGCTCTTTCGGATCACGGTGTGATGACCTGAAAGGTGAGATACACGACTAACCGATGAGATAAAGCACTTCAATATCAGCATCACCTGCCCTTCCTAAGAACAGACTGACACACAATCTATGCTGTAGAACATTCACCTCTGGGTTAGCAGCCATCGGCTCAACCATGTTGACCTAATCAGCGACTGAACAGTATGCAGTTCTTACGTTTTATGAATAGTCTGGAATAGCTGCTGGCCCTCCACAGAAACCCCAGCACTGATTGCATAGGCTTGGGACAGCTTGTCCTCCTTTTCTGTCCGTGCTCGATTGGCAAGCTGTGAAGAGTTGAACAGAACAGGCACTCAACATCCAGCATCATTTGCTTTGGCAGCTTTCAGCCATTTTCAACTGCAGTAAGAAGATGTCAGGACAGTTTCTAGCCTCCTGTATTCTGGTTTAGGACTTGAGTTATAGCTCACAGTGTTTGCTACGTAAGCGAGGCTCTACACATGGACCTGTGGAGTATTCCAGAAAGCAGGTTACGTTAAAACCTTGAGTTAGTTTGAAGTGAAATGTGGGAAACTCTGGCTTTTCAGTTCCAGAAACTGAGATCACTTTATTCCTGAGGCAGTTACCATGGCAACTTGCTCTGTCAATCTAAAACGCCCGCTGGAACGTTTTCTTCAACAAACCCAGACTTGCCGTCTGTCTCCTGTCTCCTGCAGAAGCTGTGACAGCCCACTTCATTTCCTCATTCATAACAGCCGTAACAAAGCAAATGATTTTCATAGGTTTACTTCACGAGAAGAAGGGGACCTGACAGTCAATCTGTGTAAAGACAGCAATCTGGCATTTAAATCCCAGTAACCTATTAGACAGCATGGATTCATGCCCAGCTCGGAATAAAATCTCTACAGATAATGTTTAATACTGCGACTCTGTGGACGTCAAGACAGCTGTCAATTTGTCAATCGGATCCCATGCACTGAAATATCTACTATACATTACTGTGACTGATAATACTAAAAGGAAAAAAATGTGATGCTTTAGTGACGTGACACTGATCTGTGAATGATCATTTCTGGTGTTATCGTTTGCACTTGGCCAAGCGCTCCTTTAATAGTTAGTGATCATTTTGGAAATTTACTTTCTTCTGTGTGAGAAAGACTGCAGTGCAGCTTTAAAGACATGCACACTATAAAAACGGAACTAAATGTAGTTTTAAAGTAGTTTATGAATATGCATATAATCTTTCAAATAGCATTTCAATGACAGTTTAAATAGGTTATGTTTTTTTAAAGCAACTGAGCAAGATTATTTTATTTGTATAACAGATGTCTAAAAACTGTCATTTTAACCTTGAAGCTTTTCCACCTTCAAATCACCTAAACAATAATTACTGGGCCAGACAGACACAATCAGTGGTCTGAAAATAAATGTCCTACCCCTTTGATTTCATATCCTGCTGCCACCATCATTTTGTCCCCATCAGCTTAGAGATGAATAAATATATTTAGTCTAATAAATGTAACAATTGGATTTCAGCACTTCATCATCCATTAAAGAAATTCAAGTCTGCTAGACTAATGAAGAGTGCACAACGCTGAATAAAATGTACCAATGTTAACATATCGACCTTTTCTCCAGCTCAGCCTTTTTCACTGCTGCTGCCATGTTTTTAAAGATAAATGTGCAGACACATTATTTGCAGCCCTACTGGATTAAACTGGTTGCACTTTATTTACCCGTTGCCATGGTGAATCACTGTATCAGAGCTCCACTGATGATGGCATTTCACACCACTTCAGAGATAAGCCCCTTTTCCATCACCTGGTATCAACTTGACTCTATTCGCTTCTGGTACCAGGTGCTTCACCTTCCGCTGCAGATAGTCCCCCACAGTGTAGCTGGTTGTCACAGCGACGCCGCATGAAACTTCTGTGAAGTCACTGGCCCACTATGGCAGGGCAGGCTCAAAGCTGTTATAATTTTCATCCTAGGACTGTCACTATGCCAATTTTATTAACCTTTGATAGTTTTTCAGGTGAGAAAATAACCATCTAGTTTTCAAATGTGTGGTCACTCTGTCCGAGTAATGCCAATTAAAAACGCGCTCTGTTTTTGGGGATTTGATGACCTAAAGTGTAAGCTAGCTAGCTCTACGATCCGAGCTGGTTCGCAGCACTAGACTGACCCTAAAAAATAAAAAAAAAAAAAATTTATAAAGATGATTAAAAAAAAAAACAGTATATAACTATAACATGTTATATAACTAAGGCATGTTAGTAGTTAAGTAAAGAAAAACTAATATCACACTGTAAAGTAACCTCCTGTTATAAAAAGTCCTGCATTAATAATGTTAAGTAAAAGTATGAACAAAAATGTACTTAAGGTATTAAAAGCATTATTAGGCTACTCAATGCAAAAAATGTTGTACTATACAGTACATTATATTATCAGCCTGTCACTCACACACACTGATGTAAAAGCAGGATTTAACTGTTGCAGCTGGTTGAGGTGCAGCTCGGCTGAACTAGTCTGCTTCCACGTGCAACTATTGATTATTTTCATTAGGGATCAACCTGCTGATTATTTCCTCTGTTAATCGACTGACTGGGCTGGAAAACGTCTTGTGAGACATGCTGTCACAATGTTCTAAGTGATTATCAAAATAGTTGTGAATTTATTGTAGGTGTGAGAGAGTGCAGCCAGACGTGTCTGTGCCTTCACACACACATAGACACTCATTTATGTGAGCCAGGAAAGTTTGTTTTTCTGGGGTCAGATCGGGATCAGCGTGGGTTCTTTTGTAGGTCAGAGATTAGTGAACAGACAGACAATGTGGGGAATTATTTTGACAGCACATTTTATAACCAACGTTTATTGTTTGGCATTAAGGCTGTGAACGGGACACATACTTTGACCTGTACAGAGCGACGGTGCTCTCAAAGGTGTTTGTTTTTGAGATATCCAAAGTGATCCTGAGCTGATGACTTAAATTTCTTTTTTGTTAAATGGAGTTTGGTGATTTCAGCCTCCTCCTCTTTGTCATTTCTCTGCTGCTTGTGTGCATTTAGCTCCTGGTGTGGAGTCTGACAGGCAGTCAGGAAAGAAAGGTGCACACGCATTCAATATCGGTAATAAGTAAAGGTGCATGGTATGATAACCGCCAACTTTCATACCATGGTATACCGTGAAACCAATATACCGCTGCAGCCCTACAAGCAGCTGGTGTCTTCACATCTAAACATCGGGGTTCATCGGTGGCCACACAGTAGTGGTGAATTTCTTTGACCAATCACTAGTCTGCAGTGTTTACACATCACTGTTTTGCATCACCTCAACTTGCTTGGAACCTCCACAGGTGATACCAAAAATAGTACCAGGTGCTATCCCCAACATGTGACTAATTGATAAACATAAGTTGAATAGAGTTGAGTGGAGAAGGGTACCAGGCATTGGAAAAGGGGCTAAAGTTGATGAGGACCACACATTTTTGTTTCTGAGGCCAGACTGCCTCATTTTGAGAAGAGACTCCTACTCAGTGAGGCCTTCAGATCCTGAGAAGGACCAGCCATCAAGGCATCAAGACCACATCATTTGTGGGATCCAATCCCGAACTGTGTCAGAGCCCAGACTTTCACTTACATTTTTGAACTTTAACTTCAAATCACACATTCACTTGCTGTAGATACCATTCAATTTATCCATCACATACCAACAGATGTAAAGAACAGACACAAATCTGATGGACTTACCTTGCTAACATTCAGTGATGCTAGTGGGGGTGGAGTCTCAGTGCGGTCATTTATTATGTCCACATCTGAAACATAGGCTAAGTTGATCAGGATGACGTCGTTGAGGTTTGGCTTACCGCTGGAGGAAGCACATTCTGGAAAAGAACTCGAGTCAAGGGACACAATAATGCACCACAACACAAAATGACAGACATCTGACCCCTGGTGAACCTGAGACTGCATCAGTTAAACTGCACAAAGAAGCTCAAGCACACTAGCTGACTCACACTAACAGTGACAAGTACTGCCAGTTACAGCATGTGACTACCAAAGGCAGTGCTGCCACCTATAGTAATCATGGATGAATGAATGAAGACCTGCACATATATACAGTATACATATACACAGCAGCAAAGCAAGTGTTCAGTGTGTGGGATTTTGAATTACTTTCTTTAATGACAAGCTCATGAATCAACTGTCTTTTCAATCAATAACCTGCTGGCAGCTTCCCCAACTCTGCATCCACCGCAATCAACTTTGACTAGATTTAATAAATTACACTCAGCCATGGGTTCTTGATCTATAACCAAACTAGTCTTCTTCATCTTCACAGGATGAAAATATTTATGGAAAAACAGAAAAAATCAGGATGTATATATTAAAAGAGATACATAACACCTGAAAAATGTTCACCTTCAGCTTTTCTGAACCCCTGACAGACTAGGGTCTCACGGCATAGACCTCACTTTATCTGTCAGTTTTTGCTATATCTGCAAATCAGTTTTCTAACTACTGTTCCTTCTCTGACACACTTTTACGAAAACATACAACAAAAGCTAGGGCATCAATTATGATAGTGGGACCTTAAAGTTTGACCCAAGTGGTAAAAATAAACTGCTCAAACTTTCAGTCAAACTTAGTGTCATGTATTTGTCTGGTCTTGGTTTCATTTTGAGCTATAAATCACAAGACTAAGTTTCAACTCTACAAAACAAAGCAGTGAGTCAATATACAGGCTTTTCTAGTGCACTGTCTGACTCTTTAAAACCTAATTTGACTGTGAAGTTTTTGAACTACATTGCAGGAAAATAATCAAAATGTACAAACACCAAGGCCAGTGAGGGCAACTGTCAACCAGTGTATCCTCTTCATTGATTTGATGTCTCCATCCACCTCTCACTTTGACATTAACTACATCTTAAGATTGTGGCGCATATAGATCATGAGGTAGTCCAGCAAATCACTTAAATGTTTATAATACACCCACAACCATGAATGGGTGTAGACATTCTCACCAGCAAGCTAACTTAGCCTAAGATGTAATAAACTCGTGGTGCCTGTGCCACCTGACTCGTGTCGAAATGAAACGGATAAATGACCCCATAATCGCTTAACAAATGCAATGTCGCAAGATTCATATGAAACAAGTGAAAAATCTCCGCTGATAGATTTAGGAAAGCTAATACCGTTATTTGAGCTAGTAGTGGCAGGGTGGGAATGACCAAAACTTAGCATGTTAGCCGCGCTAACAGCAACTTGATTGTAGCGTGGACGAGCGTGGTGCCCATTCATCACTAGCTTTTGGAAACTACCGTTAGCATCTCTAAGTAGTTGCATGACAGACGGTATGAGGTAAATCTGTGTACACAAGCCAGGGTGTGATGCGCTAAATGTCAGTTAGCTCGCTAACTAGCAACGGTTTTGCCTGTTGAGAGCACACAGCCATGATGTCTTACTAGGATTCGTTGCCAGATAGTGATCCATGTTGAGGTCTGGCTATACAATGAGTAGATTCAAAACACAGGCACTTTCTAGGAGATATCGTGAGGCCACGAAAGGGCCGACGACACTGATAAAATCTTCAAAGGATAAAGTGTGGATTGGAAAGTCCTTCACAAATGAAAATTATTTAAAACGGACAAAGATATTCAACTCAGCTACCACCAATTACGCCTGCGCGGATCACTATTTGACATGTTTTCGGTTACCCTACAGGCCTTTGCAGGCCAGGAAGCCATCCGCAGCTCGAAACAAACAAAGGATACTCAGAGTTAACATTTTGGACTGGTAGTCAAACGCGACCACTTCTCCTTGTAGACGTTGGCCCAAGCAGGTGAGGCAAGAGACATGGCTCCCGACACTGAAATACTCCCCCGGTCCAGGACCCGCCATCTTCTCGGCCAGGAAACCGGAGCGCCTGCCTTACGTAAAACGACGCGCTGCCGTAGTGACACGAAACTTAGGCGTGTCGAAGTACGTTCGCGTTGTGGTCATTTATTCTAATACATTGTTTTATATTTGTAGTTTAAAGTAGATAACCTTACGTAGTGCCGCCAATTCTTCTGTTGAATGCTGTCATTTTATATAAATGCAAGCATAATTCAATTCATCTAATTAGAAAATTGGCTTTGTCTCCTAATAAACCTCTCTTCCACGGTGCCCCATCTAGCGGAGACATGACGGTATGACCACCGCCATAAAACATCAAGGAGAATATGTAGTACTTCGGACTTCGCTGCAGCTTATTGTGAAGTGCTGAAGAATCGGGACTGGATTTTTATTTTTGAGTCTTAATAAAATTACATGTATACGCAGAAGATTTAGGAATGGAGGCGGTTTATACCCACGGCATTTGGATGGCTGAAACTATCCAGCAGAGGACGAGGAGTCAGGAAACATTTTGGCTGGTTGTCACTCATATGGGAGATCCTAAGGCAGCTTTCCTGCTCGTCTTTCCTTTCACATATTTCATCAGCAAACGAGCTGGTGTTGCGGTGCTTTGGCTAGCAGCTATATCGGAGTGGTTAAACCTTGTGTTTAAATGGTACGGTTAAAAAAAGCAACCAACATATTTTAAACTGGATGTTATATATATTTATATATACACGTATGGCTTTCACCGCCGCCGTGTTAGTATGTACCTACGCTTCATGTTGACATCAAAGTCTACTAGTGTCCGTATCAAACGTGGTTCTTTTTCATTTATTTTAACAGCAATAAAGTCAAACATATGTTATCCTGTTCACATCAGAGCTTCCGGTATGGTAAATGGTATCCTACTTCTTTCGGTCCGATGTGAAACAAACATTAGCGGAACCTCATATACAATAAGGAGAAACAGTAATTTAAAAAAGGTGGTCATAAAGCTTTTCTTATGAAAGGATACAAAAATTGAGGCTGTTGGGAAAGAGAAGAATGTAGGCTACAGCTCACACCATGACAAAGACACTGTCAAAACTATACCCGATAGACTGACTTGTTAACGCTATATATAACTGATGTATCAGCGGCCTACAATGGATTGAAGAAGCATTAAACTAATTAGGGTAATTAAAGAAAAGCATTAAAAAAGTTATAATATTTACAAGCTGTGGTGCATTAAGTCTCGGCATACACCATCATGACTATTGCAGCAATATAGTATACATCAGTGTGTGTTATGTGTTGTTGCTCAGGATACTGTTTGGAGAAAGGCCATTCTGGTGGATTGGTGAATCACGTTTATTTGTCAACAAGCAACCCAACGTTCACCAGTTTTCTTCCACTTGTGAAACTGGCCCAGGTGTGAAGCCCTCATATTAAAATATAAGATATATATACGGTATGTGTGTGTGTCAGTGCTCTAAAGCTGGTCTCTGTCTCCCAGGCAGCCCGTCAGGACATGCGATGGTGACGGCTGCAGTATGGTGGGTTGTGGTATCTTCAGTGGGGTCATCTCTGTACTCTCGTACACACAGGTATGCCCTTTTTAGAATAAATATGCAGTTTTGGCTCAGTAAATGTTCATATAAAGACACAGGAGGAGATCAGAGCTATTTTTGAGTGAATCTATCTCTCTCCCCATGTGTTCTCCAGTGTGGTGTTATCAGCTGCTCCTTACCTACTCTATGTGGTGATTGTGGTGGCAGTTGGAATCTCCAGGATTTTCATCCTTGCCCACTTTCCTCACCAGGTCATTGCTGGCTCCATTACAGGTATGAGTACAGCAATTATACACAAACATGTTTCTGTTATTTAGCCTACCCTAAGTAGTTATTCACACTGATGCAAGAATTGTATCATTCCAAATTTACCATAAAATCCTCTATTCATTCATTTAGAACAAAACCCACTGTAGTCTAATATGCCCAAAGATGTTAACTGCATGCATGCAAAGGAGAAATTCAACAGCTGAAAATATGTATATTGTTGTCAGGTTTCATTCTCGGGGTTGTTCTGAGCCGCAGAGTACCAGAAGGGCGCCCCCTGCTGTTCTTTATTAGCCTCAGCACGGGTCTGCTGCTCAGCGCTCTGATGCTGCATGCTGGACTGCAGCGCCTGGGAATTGAACTCTCCTGGTTAGTTTTGATGAGAACGTTCATTGTGATGTGAAGAACGTTTTACTGCCTTGACTAGACGTATTCTGTCTATTCCACAGGTCTATTGCATTGGCTAAGAAATGGTGCAGCCACGCAGAGTGGATTCGTATGGATACAGCCCCATTCTCCTCTCTGGCTCGAGACTGTGGGGCCCTTCTGGGTTGGGGGCTGGCCCAGTACTGGAAGCCTGGAGGATGGTCTCTCCCATGGGCTCCAAGGGCTTTATCTCTGGCTATTTCATCCATGGGACTGTATCATGTGAATCGTCTGCCGCTCCCAGTCCGACCACAGGGCCTGTTTTATAGCTTATTCTTTGTCAAATTTGTCCTAGTGCCTCAGATTGTCATGGTACTTGTACCTGGACTGGTTCACTTTTTCACACACAAAAAGAAGAAAGACTGAAAACTGTTCTGTCTGAGCTACAGGTGTGTTTGACACATCCAAGGACTACAGCTTTCTTGTTTAAACAACTTAAATGTTAATTAATACAGTATATTTCATAGTCACTGTTAGTACTGGTAGTCACTTTAAGTTGCTATTTATTCTCTTAGCATTTTTACCAAATTGTAAATAGTGCCTCCATCTTTGCTGTCACAATATCTTAATCACGTTCAACAACTACAAGAGATTTTGGAGTGATGTGTTAAACAGCGGCTCCACCACCATCACCCAAAGACCACGTGAGGGAATATGTTTTGGATGAATGGTGTTCATCCCTCCAGCAGAGTTCAGAGACTTGGAGAGTCAATGCCAAGGTGCACTGACGCTGTTCTGGTGACACATGGTCTCCTTACTGGACACTTCCTGTTGATGGTTTTTTTTTTTAGCACGGTGTTTCCAGCTTGTTCTGCTGCCCCCAAAATGGCCTAAAATATTTAAAGATTTACAAATATTTCACATGTTTCACTGTCATTCTGTTGGATTGCATTATAATATAACATAATGCTGTTATATGTGGTTATGTGGACCAAAATCATAAGCGAATTTAAACTTGTATGGTAAATAAATGTGACATGCAGGGTGTGTTTCAGTTGGTAGCCACTGATAAATGTTCTTTTTTCCAATACAGTTTTAACTGTACAGATTACAATCAGTTATCATGAGATAAAAACACATTCTTTTTTATTGTTTTTTATTAAACTTTTTATCACAGCGATCTGAAAGCTCACATTTACAGACAAGAGAACTCTGCTCAGCAAGCAAATACATTAAAATAAAATAAAAGAACCTTTCGCTTTTGTCTGGTGAGGTTAAAGGAAGATGACAAGGTCAGTTCAGGAACAGCAGGCTCCTTATCTTAATCCAAACACTGTATCACACACCAGAGTCAGGACACTCTATACATGTTTCTGCTTGAGCTCATGGAAAGAATAGAACATGCATCAGACTATTTACATTAAACCAATATACAAAGACAGTTTGAAACCATACACCCTCAGATATCCTCAACTTAAAAGTCTTGTTTAAATTAAGTATAATACAGTTTATACCTTCATTTCTGTAAAGATAATTAGGGCAACTCTGGTAGCAGGTGAAACTGAGGATGAGGCAGGAGACGGTCAGGACAAACTGTCTCTCTAGATATTTTATCACAGAACCAAAATCAAATGTTACAGACAAATTGTCTATAACTTTTCCCACATATACAAATTACTTGAATTTTCTCAAGACTCCACTTTCTCTATCACCCAAACTCCAGATTAGGAGTTTCTGTATACTGACACTTAAGTCTTATTTATTTATTTTTGCAGTAGATTCAACTTATTTTCAAGATGTGTGCAAGACCAGTGGATTCAGCTGGTTGGTTTAGAGCTTGAGGACTTTAATGGATAATTTTTATGAATACTTAAACGTGACTGGCCTCCTGAAGCAGACTTGAACAGACCCGAGCTAGACGGAGTGGAATATCTGAGCTAGTATATACAACTTGTGCTAGAAAGTCTATACATCTTCACCTGTTTAAAAACATTGTTTGCTCTTCATATTGTCATTCATCACTGCTTTGTAAATCATAAAATAAGTGTCTATGATAGTCTGGCATCATTGGTCAGAAGTCTGACGCATCACACACCCACTTTCTCCAAATTCAACAATCATAACAGCAAAGTAAGTAAAATACATAAAGTGCACCCTTAGTTAAGAAATTAACAGACATTTTTAGTGCAGAAGTGGCAGAATAAAAATGCATTATGGGTAAAAAGTAATGACAAAATAATGTAGGAGAAAGGGAAACGTTGTGTATGCATTTGCTTGCTTTTAGCCGCTGAGCACTAGCCATGTTAACCCATCACTAGCATATGTACTTTATGTTCTACTCTCTCTCAGGAGCGTACTGTCACCATCATATATGGAGGAGGGACAAAGGCAAACTTTAGATTATCATTTGAATAGCATCATTCAGCTAACGCTGACTTTAAATTTCTGTAGCCAGATATTCAAACTTTAATCTATTGCACTCAAGCCCTAATTTTTTTTGTCTAATACAGCAGTGCGTCCTCAAAACATGAGTGATGAATTCTGCAGAACAATCATCATAGGAGTTTTTTATAAAACTATATCAGTTTATGCTTTGTTTTAACAAGTGATCAAAGGCATTTACTGACAGGGTGCCAGACTACTATGTCTGAAAGCAATGATAAGATTGCAGCCTTCACAGTTGGTTTAACATTACACTAAGGCATATCATGAGTTTCGTGACAGTAATGATGCTGAATCATATTTTACATATGTGAACCTCAGAAATGAGGCGAAGGGATTTCAACAAAAAAAGGATGTAAAAATAGGTGTAGAGACTGATGTCCCATAGTTGAATTCTAGCTTTAACAAATGTGTTTCAGTAACAGCATAAGGTGAGACTTTACCTTCACTTCCTGGTCCAGCTTTAATCCATATGTATTGTATGTTTATCACCTTAGAACTGCAACAAATTGTAAACCAGTTGACACGAAATTAATTGAAAATGATTACCTTCACCAAGAAATGTTATGTTTTTGGTTCTGTGTGTGTGTTGGTTAGCAGGATTATGGACATACGGCCGGATGGATCATTAACATATTTGGTGGGGACCAACCCTAGAAGTGATTAGATTTTGGCTGAAAAAGGTCAAAGGTCAAGGTCACAAAGTTTAAAGTCAACACTGAAAATCCAATATAATGAATCTTTTCTGCCATAAATTGGCCTATAATAAAGATAGAATCCCGAAATGTTCAGGTGAAATGTACATTAAAACCACCTACGATACCCTAAAGGATGATCCAGATCAGATCCAGATCATGGATTTTAGGACACATGTTGTGTTGTTCTGGATCTCATTTTTCACAAGGGACCTGTTTGTGTTAGCGAATGTTATGCCTTGGCGGAGGTACATGTGCTCTCTTAGTGCTCTTGTTTTGATAATCACTTGGTCGTTTCAGTGATTTTTTCGAACATAAAACATTTACTGTTTCTTGAATCTCCTATATAAGGATTTACTGCTTTACTGATTTTCTGTTTTACATCATTGTAAACTGAACACCTTTTGGCTTTCAACTCCTGGTCAGACAAAAATGATACTGGGCATATTCTACTAATATCTGACATGTTACTGACAAAACAAAAACTTAATTTTAATACAGCAGAGGTAATTGTATTATTCAAAGTTGGTCTGTGTCCCTCCTTCCCTACCCTGTTGGGTTTTCACATCCATATGACTAGCTGTGGGACACAAAGGCAGGGTTAACAGAATACAATTCAAACGCAAACTATGCTTTGTTTTATTTCTATGTACAATATATAACTTAATTATAAATATTGTCATTTTTCTCTAAGTACTGAGTTTTTGAGCCATTTGTATTTTCTGAGCAATGTACAGTATTGAACATATAATTGTATTACATAGAATAGAGCCTACTAGCAACCTTGGTTAAGAGCACACGTTGTAAGAAAAGAATATGGATTCAGTCCACAAGTAGAGTCACTTTCACTCGTACAGTCCAACCTGTTGTGTTCACTTGTGGGAACTTTGTGCCACACAACATTTTGGAATGAATTCAGCATGAGATCAGAATGTAAGACCCTCCTGTTACCTACCTGTGTGCAGAATATAATAATGAAGTAATCGCTTCACTGTTAGTCATACGTTTCATATAAGGTAAGGTCTAGTACCCTAAGTGAGTGCGTGTCGACTGTGTGGTTTTCTCTCCTATGAATTCTTTAAAATGAGTTCATCCATGTCACATACATGAGGGTCAGTATAATCTGCTGTTGAATTAAATATTTTTCTCCTCTCACTCCTACTAACAAGCCCAGTCCAATCAACCAATCACAGACAGGCCATCACACATTTGACTCCACAAATGGTCTCTTTGGTTTGATGGGGGAGGTGGGGCCTTGGGTCCGAGAATCACGTGAGAGCTGGCGGTACATGTTGTCCTGGTAGGCTTGTGCCACGGGCAGAGTCCGTGCCACTTTCACATCCGGGTAGGTGGGCACCTGGCTGACCCGCTCCAGGATGTCCCCCCCGCCACGGGAGCCATTGGCGAGCTTGCTCATTGAGGGGGGCTGGGTCTGGGAGTAGAAGTCCTCCTCCAACAGGTGTCCATTTTGGGCATTGTTGGTCTTGTTGTAGTAGGCAATATTGCCCAGTGAGGTGGGGGGACTGTAGGTGGAGCCTTGCTGGACCAGCTGGCCAGGTGAGGTGGGGCTGATGGCAGAGTCCATGGAAGTCATGGCCCTGGACCGTGAGGGCTGATGCAGGTACTGCTGAGTCCGTGCCGTCTTGTCTATGATGCCCATGAAGGGCGTGTTCCGAGAGCGGGTGGTCTCACCCTGATACAGCCCTCCGCCGCCCTGCGAAGGAGAGATGGGAGAGATGTCATCACAGGTGCGCTCATATGTGGCTTGCAGGGGGATCTCCATCTGCTGAATGGAAGACGAAGGTCTGAAGCCTGGCGCTAAATTCGCGGTGGATCCAGTTGAGATGTTGTTGCTGGAGGGGGAGAATCGAAGGCCTACGCTCTGAGAATGGATGAGAGGCCTGGGGGTGGGCACGTGCTGCTTCATCTCAGTAGTATTGGCACTGACAGGGCGTCTCACCATATGGGGGATCTCAGGAGAGCCCAGCTGGCAGGGGGGCATGGCACTGGCACGCTCCAGTACATGTTCAGCAACTGGGTAGTAGGCGGCTGACTGGCTACGACTTATCTGAGGTGTCTGGCTGTAACGGATGCCCCCTGGGCCCCCACTGCTGGCGCGGTAGGCAGAGGAGGGGCGCTGGGGTAGTTCATCCTTCAACAGGCTTGACTCCATAACCCCTCCTCGGCCGCCGTGCTGACAGAGGGCCCCAGAACTGAGGCCGGGCCGGGCCTGGGGCATGGACCGTCCATCCAGGGAGGGCTGGTACACCAGCCGGCTCCCCACGGCGGGTCCCCCAGCCGGCTCTCCACATCCACCGACCCCCCTTGGTAGCGACCACCAATGGAGTGGCCCATCTGGCCACCATAGCTGCTGTTGCCCATCACACTGCTGGGCTGGTTTGTGCGGACTATTTGGGCTATAGAAGGCTGAAGGCGAAGGCCTTGGGCTTGGTGGTGCTGGGAGGACAGAGAGGGCTGTGAGCTCAGCTGGAATGAACGTTGGCTACTCATCTTGGAGAGGGGAGATTTGGGCCGGCCAGGGAGCTGCTCTGTCTGGTAGCGCACAGGTGACCCAGACTGGGACCTGTACAGGCAAACACTCTCTAATGGTGGACTGGCTCTGTATTGAGCAGCCCGACGTAAAGGGGAAGGCGGTGGGCTCTGGTGATCCATCCCCTGACCCCCAGTACCCGTAGGAGGTGGACTGAAGCGATAGGATGGCTGATGCACTGGCGAGGTGTGAGGCGGGCTGTGTCGGTAGTGGGAGTTCTGATGTGTTGGGGATAGAGAGGGCGATATGGGCTGGTATGACCCACGGGTTGGAGAGGACATGGAGGAGGAGGTGGGTTGATATTCGTAAGGCAAGCCCATGGGTGAACCTCCAGATAAATAGATCTGATCTGGATGTGTGGGGGAGAGCGGTGGGCTCTGAATGATGGGAAGGCTGGAAGGATTGGTGAGAGACTCGGGTGGGGCCAAACCCATAGACATGGCCTCGAGCTCCTGCTCCAGGTAGTCCTCATCCTCAAACAGGTCCTGGACGGGCTCCATGTCCTCCAGACGAGGCTCTGGGGGAGGGGGAAGAGGCATGGACAGGGACAGGGACACCTCCTCTTCTGGGGGAGGTGTAGGAGGAGGGGAGGGAGGAGGCTCCAACTCCAGGTCCTGCTGCTGGTGCTCCTCCTGGTTGAGCTGGTGACACTCCTCCTCCACCCTCTGGAGCAGCCGCTGGATCTCTCTGTTGTTGGGGCACTGCTTTATGGCTTCATTCAGGTCCTCTAGGGCTTCAGGAAATTGTCTGGAAATTGAAGATGAAATGAGTTGTTTTGGGGGAAAAGTCATAGTTGTTCAAAATCTCCATCAAACCAAACATCCAAAGCTGTATGGAAGACAATACTGGAATCCAATACTGTATAAATAAACAAATGTGAGGAATGCAGCCACAGAGAGAATTTAAAATGTATCAAAGAACAAATGATTACACTGAGTATTTCATTTTGACTATAATGTGTAAAAGGATTAAAGGAAGGTACCTGCTGCTACGCTTGGCACGTGCCCTGGCATAGTATGCCTCATACGATTTAGGTTTTAGTTCAAGTGCCTTAGTAGCAAATTCCTCAGCCATCCCAAAGTCCTGAAGAGATTGAGCAGAGAAGGACACTACTAAACACCAAAACAATCTTCATTATCTTCCAATGTATAAATACTTTTTGGTTTAGTAATTTAATTTAGTAAATGTCTCAACAGTTAATCTAAAATTCTTAACCAGAGAACTCTGCCAACTTACATTCATTTTCCTCCGACATCGGGACAGGTTGAGGAAGAGCGATACTTTGAGTTCCCTGAATGTCTTGAGGTCCTCACTGAAGCCTTCGCGTGGAAACTTCTTGAGGGCATACTGATAACGTTGTGCTGCCTCCTTCACCTTCCCCTTCTGTTGGACAAACAAAGTCTGGTTATCCTACCGTTACACTGAAATAACTAGAATTACACGTTTGCTGTTGTTTGCCTCCACCAACCTGTTACATTCACTGGAAGAGGACAGACGTGAGGTCACTGACCTTGACCTTTGACCACCAAAATCTTATCAGTTCACCTTTGTGACAAATTTGAAGGAATTCCCTCAAGGCGTTCCTGACATATCAAGTTCAGAAGGATGGGTCGGATGGACATACGAGACAACCCAAAAGCATAATGCCTCTGGCCATGGCTATCGCTGGCACATAGGCCAAAAAAGCTGATTTGAAATCTTCAGATCTATTCATGAAAACACATCTATCACTGCTTATAATCAGTTCTCTGACTGAACTCATTCTCAGACAAAGGAGCCTTGTTTTATTGTGTGTTACACTGCAGGGTCTACTTGTGAGGAGAGGCAAATAAAAGAATACTGAATACAGATACTCGTATGCTAAAAATTACACATACAGGTTCATGATTAGCCTTAATCATGATTAACTCAAATGAAGATCACATTTCTCCCACCAGTGACACAGAGGTCAGATCAGTCCTTGCAGAAAAAGTATCTTAAAATTTTCATTTAAAGGACATGTATCATATCACAAAATTCTTTTTAATTCAGACAACAAAAGCTGAGCTCCAGAGTACAGGGGCCTGGGCTCTGACCTTGTAGAAGCTGTCCCCCTCCTCGATGAGCTTGCTGAGCAATATGATCATGATATCGGGTTTGGAGGTGGCCATGGCCCATGTGGCTGGACCTGGGTAGCACAGGAAGGAGCAGATGAATAAAAATGTGAGAAAGACAGTAATAAACAGACGAGGAGGAAGAAAGGAACGACTGGGAGTCACACTGCACACAACAATAATAACAGGGATGAGGACAACAGCCAAAATGGGGAATGGAGGAGAAAAGACCGGCAATCCACTGCAGAGAAAATATACATGTGTACCTGTCCTCACTGCAGGACATCAGACCTGGGTCAAATACTATTTCACAATAATTATGAGCTTTAGTAAATCCTGTTGGACATCGTAGAGGGCTAATGTTGTGTCTTACTGGAGTGCAGAATGAGCACATATAGAATTTTTCTCATAAAAATGATTCAAATTAACTGTAGGACTTATCTGCAAATACATTTTGGCCCAAGCAAACCCACTTATACTGCAACAAAATCACACAGTCATGTCTTTCTATTGAGACATTTCTGTCTCATCAAGAAGTGCAGATGTACAGTAATCCTTATACTGACTAATTCAGGGATGTGATCAAGAACAGCAGAAGAACAGAAAAACACTACTCTCCCAATTAAAACAAGTGGGAGTATATTAAAAGAAGAAGAGCAAAAAGCTCTCTTGATGCCTCCAGACTTTATGATTGAAAAGTCAAACACAATCCCTTGACTGAAACGGTCTTTTCTGTAGCTACAAGGGGGATTTGTTGGGTTTTTCTCTCTAATAATAATAATAATAGTAAGGCCTAGACCTTACTTTGTAAAGTGTCCTGAGATGACTTTGGTTGTGATTTGGTGCTATACAAATAAAACTGAATTGAACTGCACAACAGCAATCCCTGACAAACGTACACACATTACACAAATGAAAAGAAGGGGATCTTGCACAAGGAGACACAGGGCAGGTACAACAAACAGAAGAGGCAAGCAGGAGATATATCATAGAGCTCTGCAGACATTAGCTGTCCTGTGAGCTGGTGGTGGTGAGGGTAGGAATGGTGCTGACTGGCCTGACTGACACTGAGGGAACATCTGGAAGATGATCGATGCACAGTACAGTGGTTTATCACCTCAGTCCGTGGTGGCGGTGGTACAGAGAAATTACAAATACAGTACATGCATTTCCGCTAAATCACTACCACGCAAGTGTTACTGAGGGCTCCCGTCATGCATCTGTGGGATGGAAGGTCAACACTTCAATACGATGTCACAGGCTGGAGGCCGGGCATGCTGTCGTTAACCACTCTGATGTTAGCATCTACCTCTAGGCAATCCTGCCTACAGCACTGTCAGCGCTAATACCTTTGCGTGTTATTTGTCAGTTTGAGAAACTTTTGGTAGCTAAGCTCGCCTGCCGACACTTAGGACGACACAGACAACACAGAGAGAGGAGATAGAGCTATCAAAATGCCTGGTGGGGTGAGAAGTCGACAGCCTTGGCTTTACCTCGGGGCCGACTGGGCAGCGTCTGACATCCTGGGGTCGGAGAGAGAGGCAGTGGCT